CTTTAAGCCAAAGCAATCTTTGGGTCTTTTTTCTCTTTGTTGCCCTCTGGGTGGGGTGGTTTTATATGGGAGTTTCTTATTTGTGGTTAGTGAGTTCTTTTCTTCTGCCAATACTTGGGCAGCAAGGATTTTTTTAGGTCTGGGTTTCTTTTAACTTATTCTTTGAGTTTTTCCTAGGATTGGAAAACTCTTACTTCTCCATCTATCTTGATATATAATTTAGCTGGATATATTATGCTTGGGTTTATATTATTTTCCTTCAATTTTTTGGAATATGTTACATTACTCTCTCCTCTTCTTCATAGTGTCCCCTTATAGGTCTGAGCATATTCTTCTTTGGGAACCTTTATATGTGACTGCTTCTTTTTCCCTAGCTGCTATCATGATTTCCCCCTTTTTTTCGATGATGGATAGTGTAACTATTATGTGCCTTGGTTACTTCTTTTCAGATTCAGTCTACTGGTGTTCTTTCAGCCTCCTGAATGGTTGTCTGGTTTTCATTCCTTAAGCTGTGGTAGTTTTCTTCCAAGAATTCTCAATACTTTTGCAATTGACTTCTGCACAGACTAAACAAAAGTGAAAACAGTTATAAAAAAAAAGAAAACAAAAAAGGAGAACTGAATCTGCTGAGGCTGTGGCAAGAAAGAGAGAAGAGAGAGAAAGGAAGAAAAGGTGAAAGAAGAACAAAAAGTGAAAGAAGAGAGAGAAAGGAAGAAAAAGTGAAAGAAGAACAAAAAGAAATAGAAAAAAGAAAGCGAAGGACAGAAAATTTTTAAAAATAGATAATGAGATAGCTGAACCCCGTGCTGTGCCATGTGTAGCACTGTCTCATGTCATGCACAGCACTGTCACAGGGGGCAGGCTATAGCTCTCACCACTGGGTGGGCAGAGCTGCCCTAGGCAGAGGGTAGGGGGTCTGAAAACCAGCAGTGGCATGTGGAAGGAGAGAGAGGGAGAGGAGAGAATCATAAAAGCAGAAAGAGAGAAGAAAGAAAGAGAAGGGGGGAAATCTCAACTGTTCTCACTAAGATTGAATATGATGGTAAACAGGGAAGAGAGAAGGAGGAAATAAAGGACAAAGAGATATCTGATCCATGATTGCTTGAATGTGGGGCCAGAGGGGTTTAAACCCTGCCCCACGATGGCAGTTTGGTATACCCTTTTAATTCAGGGACCCAGTGGTGCTGGGCAGAATTGCCCTAGTTAGCGAGATCACCTTAGAGGTCCGATGGAGGTTTCCTCAGCAGTGTGGTGTGCTGTAGATGGCTTTCACAGCTGCCTTGCATTGTGTGCAACACTCCCACAGAGGGAAGGCTGGAGTTCCCCCTGCTATTTGGGATGATTTGCCCTAGACAGAGGGTAATGGCCTGCAAGCCAGTAGTGGCATATGATAGGAAAGAGAGGAAGAGAAGAGGAAAAAGAGGGGATAATAAGAAAGAAAGAAGAAAAAAATACAAAACAAACCTGAGCCCATTGAAACCAACTGCAGTGGGAAAGATAGAAGGGTGAGCGAATAAAGAAAGAAGAAATAGAGTGGTAACTAAGGAGATAACAGACTTGATCACCTTTCTGTGGGGCTGGAGGAGTTCCAACTCTTTCTCTAGGTAGTGGGGTGGTGTGCCTGTTTGGTGCAGGGTTCCACAGATGCAGGGTGGGGTTACTCTGGAAGGCAAGATCACACAAGTGACCAGGCATCAATTCCCAAGGCGGTACTGAGCTCTGGAATTCACTTGTATACCTGCCTTGTGCTATATGTAGCACGACAGCAGGGGTGGGGGGGCAGGGTGTTCCCACAGCCCCATGTAGGGCTCTAGGACAGGCAGGACCTCCCTAGCTGTGTGTAGAATCGCTGAGAAAGAAGCTGCGCTTATTGACCTATCTAGACTGCAGGTGATCAGAGGATCACCCCCCTCCCCACCCCCGCCCCCCCCACGCCCACTAGAATAGAATCAAATTAACTTGACTCCCTGACTCTGGGGTCTAGCTTTGTGCTCTGTTAGAAACTTAGACTTGCTCCCGTGGGTCTTTGGTATGCAAAAGGCCTCCAGGCCCTGTAGCTACAATAAGTTCTGGCATTCCTTAGCGAGGGCTTCTTCTTATGCTAATTTATGTCAAGGGACCCCTTCTATAAGCTCCTTGGAGCTAAGCAACAAAGCTAGGGTTTGAGTTTTTACTAATAATATATATTTCACTCTTTTTTATATTATGCTTGTGAGGTGCTCTGATTTGGGGGCTGTCACACTGACCCCCAGAGGTGGAGATCCAGTTTATCAGGGGAGTTGTTTCCTTGTTGGCCAATTGGAACTGAATTCAGCCCCTGGACTCTGACTATCCACCTATTTTCCCCCACACCACAATCTGTCTCAGGTAAAATTCTGCTTTTCCTTCTGCTCCAAATTATGGCTACCTGCCACCCCCACTCCCCAGGCTATGAGCTCAAGGCAGCTAACAACGCTGAGAGCTCTGGTGTGGTGTTCTCCTCGTGTCTGGGATTATGTCCCCTTTAGGGCATCAGGCTGGGCAAATCCCTACTCCTGGTGAAAGAGTGGGGAGCTTTTCAGCTGGAGCCCACGAGCCCAAACTTAGAGCGATTTAGAGTGTTCTTGGTTTGCACACAAACAGGGAGTTCAGGCGAGATTCTAGTACCCCAATTCTAATTTCAAGACTCCACCTCCCAGTTTCTTTCACCTTACATCCCAATTTTCTTGTCTGGCAGCAGGCGCTCCAGACGGGTGAGTCTTAACTAGTCACCATTTTTCCCATCCTCCTACTTCATAGTATTTTATGAGACAGAAATTCTGATGTCTACTATCACTTGGGCAAAAGCAAACAGTTTGATCAAATAATGAGGACATCACAAGCTGGAACAAATGAATTCATGCTGGGGGTATCCAAAATAAAATACATCAGTGCATGGCGACTTGGCATTATAGAAAATGAAATTACTGGAATGCATTGAAATTCTGATTTGAACCCTGGGTACAAGAAACTGATGATACTCATAGTCTTTCCATGTTTAGAATGTCTAAGGTTTGGATAATCTATATAACTTGGCAAAGAGTTTTTCAAATGCAGTTATTTTAAAGTGGTATTAGCAGAGACAAAATTGTATTTAACAGGATATCTAAAATAAGAGTTCATTTTTCTAAAAATATTCAAATCTAAATATTTTGAAGTAAAGATAGAATCAAAATCTTTTCAAAAACATTTTCATTCACTCCCTCCCTAAGTAATTTATTTCCTCCATTGTTATAATCTTTTAAGGGGAACTATCATTTTCACAAACCTTTATTGTTATTGGGGTCAACAAATGGAAGGGTAATATATGTATTTCTCAGCCTTTCAAAAATAAAAACTGTCTATTTTATTAAGAGACTGACATTCAACTTTTAAGAGTGTCAGATTCCTTACAAATTGGACAATATGAAATGCAAAATAGTAGATATGCTACTAGCTATTTGATTTGATTTTAACATGTTCATTAAGATCTACTTTCTCTTAATAGCTCCCAACTCAGTCAGTGGGAGTGTTGGGACACAGTACACTTGACTCAGCATCATACAATTCTCTATCATCACCAACCTGGTTTCCTTGACTCCACTCATGTACCTCTCCAACTGATTATCACCAATGTAGTATTTCTAAAATCTAAAAATCCCTACTGTTTCTAAAACCTTAATACACACAATTGCAAGAAATAAGGATAAAACTAAAGCAGGGAAAGTATAGCCACTGGAATATTTACACTCATGATTGGTCAACCTTTGTCCCATCTGTCCTTCTGTACCATTCCACTGACATTATATACTTGAGTTTATACTTCCCTCCCCCCAATTCCCACCTGTCACACTCATCTGAGGGTAGCATAGGGTGATCTTTCAACATTCAGTTCCAGGATAATTTTTCTATCACCTTTGTTTTAAGGAAACTTCTACATCATATTCGTTATAAGCTTTACACTTTGTGCATGATGACCAAAGTGATTTACTGGATATAATTTGTATAAGCCGAGTTTTTTCAGCACAATTTTTATGCAGTTTTTGTGGCTAAATTAGGTGCCTCAGCTGATATTCTGGTCGACCTATATTCGAGTACACACGGTGTATATATTATTACACCTATTTACATATACAATTATACCCACCATTCAAACCCCTTAGAGACAGCAGGAATGAAATGTTGAGATTTAAAGGTCATTTACCCATGATTTTGGATTATTATGTAGTATTTTTAAATGTTCACTGAATAAATGAAGGATTGAATATTTGATTAACATTTCTGCTTCTATGCCTAACAAATCACACTAAAATCTCACTTGCATGTCATCTCTTGTAGGGAGCTCTCTCTTAATCCCCAGTCCACTTTTGGTTAATGCTTATCCCGCCGCACAGTACTTTATGAAGTCCTGGATTCTAAATTAATCATGCAATACCAATAGTTCCTACCCATGAGATTTCTTTAGCACTGACATTTTGAGCAAAGAAGTCCCTGATAAAATTGTGCAGTTGTAGTTGGTATTTTCAGAAATTATATGCATGATAAGAGAGTCATGTTCAAGTGGACACATTTGCTAAAGTATTTTGTGACACTGCCACCAGAGAATAAAAACTCCACAAATATTGGTGGAGGAAAGGAACTAATACTTAACTCTTTATTTGGAATTAATTTCAAGGTTACAGAAAAGCAATATGAAAAAGAAAAGTGTTAATAATGTACTATCCAAATAAATCTTATCTAAATTCAATTTTTGTTAATACCTTCTTTTTGTTAAACCATTTCCTTGTTCTCACTTCTTATTTTCAAATTCATTAACATTTACTTCTAAATATTTTCATTATGCATATCCTAAGGTTATGAATATTCTCTTACAGGATAAGATTGCAAAATACAAACAACTGCCTTTTTTTAAATATGAGAATATGATGAGACAGTGTGATATAGTTTGATAGGGAAATGTCACGAATAGGTATAAGGACAAAGATACTTACTACCAACATCTGCTAGTTTATAGTTTCTTGAATAACAGGTCTCACATGCAGTATTTTCTTCAGAGCCCCAGTGACATCTTTATTCCTGAGACTATAGATTAAAGGGTTTAGTACAGGAGTGAGGATGGTGTAGAAGAAAGATACTACCATGTCCTTCTCTGCGGTGTGGTAGGAGCTGGGGATCATGTAGGTGTAGATTGCCGCTCCATAGAATAGGGTGACCACAGTCATGTGGGAAGAACAGGTGGTGAAGGCCTTTTTTCGGCCCTCTGCAGACTTCATCCTGTGGATGGTGATGAGGATGAAGGAATAAGAGCTTGAAATGACTGTCACGGGGATAAGGAGCATGAGCACACAGCACAGATACATGAGTGTCTCAATGAGTGACGTGTCGGAGCAGGAGAGCTTCATTAAGGCAGGGACCTCACAGAAGAAGTGCTGGATCTCCCTGGATCTGCAAAAGGGAAAGGTCATGGTGATGGGAGTGAGCATGAAGCCATCCACTGAGCCCAAGAACCAGCAACCAGCTGCCAGGAGGAGACATACCCTGCGGTTCATAAGAACTGGGTAGCGGAGGGGATGGCAGATGGCCATGTACCTGTCATAGGCCATGGCAGCTAGAAGAAAAAACTCTGATCCTACTAATGTGGAGTATAGAAACATCTGTATCCCACATTCAGCAATCGAGATCTTTTTGACACCTATGACCTGGTCTATAAGCATCTTGGGCACAGTGACAGAAATGTACATCACATCCATAAGGGACAACTGACTTATGAAAAAGTACATAGGTGTTTGGAGGTGGGCATTAGAGTGTATCAAGAAGATCAGGAGGCCATTTCCAGACAAGGCCATTAGGAAAATCACAAAAATGACCACAGAGAGCAGAACGGGGTGATTTGATTGAGTGAAGAGCCCCAACAGGATGAAATTGGATCCTCCAGTGTAGTTGGCCAGCCATGTGGTGTTGTCCATGAGGCTTTACCTGTGACAGTAAAGAAAGGTTTCACGTTACACAGATCTCACTTGAAGATGTGGTCCTTTGAAGTGTGTATTCAGTGCTGTATGGGTTTATGTGCACATCTTCTTGCTAACAAAAAAGTCTTACTCTAATTGTAGAATGCCTGTGCTGATTTAGGGGTTATAAATTACTTGAAATTCACATATTTACAAGAAAATATTAGTGAATTCAGAACTGTGGCTTAAGAGGGAAAGGAATACAACATGGCCTAATAGTCAGAAGCTCTGTTAATTCCTCATTCAAAAAGACCCATGAAAACAGTGGATATATTTCAGCAGCCTGGAGATCGACAAAAAGAATCCTATGAAAGACCACAGTGGGTTGAAAGAATTGGTAACCCATGCTCAAGTCACCACAGTTCAAGGCACTGAAGTTTCTGTGCCTTCTATCATTATTAGTGGAAACTTGAAATATTGCCATATATAACACAAAGAGGAAGAAAAAATGAGAGAAAATGAACAAAAGCTCAAAGAAAACTCTAACTTCTTCCTTAAATTTTGTTACTGAAGTCGAAATTAAATTATCCTCCCTGCTTTAGGACTCAACTGGAGTTATAGAATCGTCATGGCATGTGTCAGCCCTCAGAGAATGGATGGGGCACAGGATGAGGGACACACACAGATCCTTCAATCAGACTCTGTCTTTGGGTCCAGCATCTCCTCTGTCTTCACTGTAAGTTACTAAACCCTTCATTGTTTAGTCCATCTCAAAGCCAAAACCAAACTCACTGCCATCAAATAAATGTCGGCTCACAGTGACCCTATAATGCAAGGTAGAACTGCCTCTGTGAGTTTCTGAGCCTCTGACTGTTGACAGGAGAGAAAGGTCTGTCTCTCCACCCCCATGAGTAGCAGGTGGTTTCAAACGGCCAACTTTGTGGATCACAGCCCAATGCATAACCAATATGCCATCAAAGCTCCAAGTGAAAAATGCTTTCACCCTAATGTGAGGTTATATTAGGTTCAATAATAGCAATACTTAGAACATTACCTGCCATCGGTGAACAAACAAATTTCTAATTCAGGGTGTACAGAGATATAGGCATACTTTTGTGCAGCATCTCTGCATTAACTCTCATTATTTTGGGGAAATATATCTGAGATACATTCCTTCAATTTTCTGATTTCTACATCATAGTCATACTTTTAAAATTTTGAATCTGATAATTTCTGTTGTCCAGATAAGTTGTTGATTTATCTTATTTTTATACGTCTGGTAAAGTGGAGTTTAAAGAATTCTATCTCATTATCATAAAATACATGATTACTTAAGGTGAAAGTGATTTTCATTATTTCATCCTTTACTATCATTTTTACTAAACTCAGGGAAAAGTGAAGAACTAGAATTTAGGGAGTCCGTGTCATTTTACCAGACCAGACAAGTTTTTTGCACAAATATTATCAGCTTTACTGCTCCTTACAAAGAATCGTTCATGGAAAACAAATGCAGAGCAAAGAAAAATGGAAACACCCTGAGATGTCTTTGATTCCCAGCACTGCTTTCCCCCTCTATTTTGATTCTTGTTACCTCTCTGTGTTAGAATCTTAACAGAAATCAATGATAAGTTGAAGAGAATCAAAGAAAATTTGACCAACCTCAAGGAAGTCAAAATCTGTTACTTGGAGAAAATAGTTTAAATAAATGATTTAAAGTAAAATTTATTTGAACCACAACGCAAATAAGAAACAGCAATAGATTTGAAATAAAACTGCCCTTTCTGAAATGATACAATATTAGCATCTTCCACACTTTCTCATCCTGGTATTAAACCTTTACAACCATTCAATTTCTGAAATATTGATTTTGAAAGCCCTTACAAACAGGAAGGAAATACCAAATGCTCTCAGTGGGGAGACATTCAAAGAAGTGATGATGAGGTGTTTCAGGAAAAGTTTACAGATGTTTCAGTCTTGTTTTATGTATGATTCCAGAAACTACTTTTGAAAGTCAACTTACTAAAAGTCCTAAATTCTGGTATTTTGATAGAGCAGGCAATGCTGTAACTGAGTTTGACATGAATATCCATGAAATCTATGCATATTGCACAAACAAATGTGTACTCTGTCGAATCTCACCCCGGTTGACAAAGGGAAGCTGGGTTGCATATAAAAGTTGCAAACAGCTCTTCACACTGCAAAACACACGTGCTAAACTTGTCTCTGTGAACACTCAAAATGTAATGGTGTTTCTTGCAGAGACTGACACTGAAGTAGAACTCGAAGCTCATATTTGCTGAATTACTATAGGCTGGGTAGAGGAAGCACAAGGGGCAAAGCATGGATGCTGTCGAACCTCCCCTGCACTTTGTAAACTGTCACTGGCAACGAGCCTTATTGAATGGTCCCAGGGAGGCGGACACTGAGATGCCTCTGAAAGCAAATGTCTGCTCATTCATACTCTTCTCAATCCACTGCTGGTTTAACTTAGGAAATCATCAGTGCAGGTGGTGGCGCAGTATAAAGTTTTTTTTTGGATCCCAGTGTATCTCAGGTATTGTTCATGTGCTTTACAGCCTAATGTCCCCAAGAACCTATGAGAAATGCATCCTTACTTTCTATTTCCATAGATGAGAAAATTCGGATTATCTTCCCCTCTGCATGTCGTCACAGAGAAAACTCACCTTTCAAGTCCTGTGCAGGGTCCACAGCCAATAACACTGCCTCACAGCTCTCCAACTCTCAGTTCCACCATCAACAATCTTCCACTTGAGTTTTACATCAGCCAGTGTGAGTTTCATTGGAGAAACAAGAATGTTGTCCAGACATTTGTTTCTGTGTTATCTATCAGACATAGGCTCACTGGAGTTAAAATCATTCATTTTTCTCTTTAAATTCCAATTTCATAAAAACAGAAACATCACTCAATAATGTGAGAAGAATAAAAGGTCAAGACAAAGGTTTTCATACCACAAGAACAAACGTTGATGGCTACTGGAGTTGAAAATGGTTAGGAGGTAGGGAAGCAATAAACTAGACCGAGACAGGTGTTAACTTGGGAGGAGAGGGAGATGATATCCTACAAGAGGGAGGAGGTAAAAATAAAAAGAGGGGACAGACTAAGAATTGGAAGATTCGATAAGTTAAGTTGTTGAAAACTTATTATCAGAAATGTAAATCCCCATTTAATTTACAATTAAACATATTTTTAACATACAGGAATAATATATATTGTTCTGTACATAAAAATGGGAAAAAATAAATTTCCTCCTATGCTGCAATAAGTGTTTGATGAATAAATGCAAAGGAAAATGAGGGTTTGCTCTTCTTCATAAAAATAGAGGAAAAACAGGAATATGTTGAGTAGATATTGTCAAGAACTCCCTGGATGTATTAAAGCACAATAAATATTTAAGGACGTTGGTTACCCTTTGCTCTGCAGTTCTGTTTACAGCTCTGTCTGCTTGGACCACCAGTAGATGATGCGAGACTCCATAACAATGTATGATGGAGTGTGGTCAAAGTTAGGTTTGCAAAGGTAAGTAGACCAGTGACATCACCCTGTATTTATCTGCCCATTAGGAGTGTAGAAGAAAGCTTCTGTTGATGAGTCTCCTGTGGGATATTGAAAATTAATTCAATTAAAAGGGCAGAAAAACTAATAAATGTCTCCCTTGTACTTGTTTATCTTTTTCAGTTAGTTAGTTTGAGGTGTCAGCAAGTTAAGTTTATTCTGCAGGCCGGGGGGCTCCAGGCAAGTTTTTAAAATCACTTTTTCCCCTTCAAACTCTTTTATGAATTATAGAAACCTGAAAAGCAAACAGCAAAAATAAAAAACCCACGACAGGCATCCGGAATCATTTTCATGAGTTGACACAGTTTGGCATGTCTTTCTACATCCTAAGCATGTATATAAATGATTGAACATACAATTTTAGGTGATTGAGGTCACACCATATGATTTTATGCCTTTTTTAACACATCATGAATATTTATCAGTTAAAAGTCATGAGTATTTTGACAAGCAAGAATTTACTATGATGACTTAATTAGAAAAGGATACCAAAAAAATCTCCTGGGGAGGAAAAAAGTTAATAAAAGACAAAAATGGTTAACAGGCCTCTAGATAAGGTAGGCACATAGTTACTTCTCAAAGATCGATTAATAATTCCATGTCCAAGATGGTTTTCTGAATTATGACTAAAGGATATTCACAGGTTGGTTAACTCACTAATATTACTGTTCATCATACATTGTCACCTCAAGACATCTAAAATGCATAGATGCTGCAAAATAACAAATATTATCCAGAATACACACATGTACTTTATTTAAAATGCATACATGGACTTATTGTTATCATGTAACACGGCTTCCTAGATATGGAGAGACAGCCAACAGCCTTTCCCTCTGCCTTTCCCCTTCTCCTTCCACCACCTTCAATGACGAAGCACAGAATGACCAGCTCCCAGAAGTGGATTAACAGAGCACACCCCACAGAAGACAGACCTTCTAGGAGACTGTTTTACTACATCGATTTTAACACACTATGTCTATTTTTAACACATTTTGAGTATTAGGACTAATTTGTCCTTTAACACACAGCAATATTAACTAAAATGTACTTTGGAAACCATTTGTAGACAATCTGAACTTGTCAAACTCTGCCATAGAGCCCTTCCCTCCCCATCTCCTTTCTCACCCCCACCCCCATCCCCACTGCACAGTATACTGCCTCCAAGACATCAAAATGAGCAATTCCATCTCCCAAATGCAACCATTCCTATTATTACAACCAAAACACACTGAAAAAAGGATTTAAAGTGTTTTACTCTGCATCCTCTCTTAATATAGTGTGAAATTCTAAACATCTGGAAGGACTCTTTCTAGATGTTTCCAATCAGGACTTAAGTTTGTCCACCACACACAACCTTTTTGAATCAAATGAACATTTGTGACAAAGGCTAGAATTTGAAGATGTCCTCTAACTAAACATTCTCATCTAGAATCACCCCTGT